GGTTTGCCTCAAAACAAGAAAAGTTCTATTGGGATGGTATCCACAAATTACCTAAAGATGGGGAAATGTGTAGCTAGCGATGGATATTACTTTGAATAAAGCACTTTCGATGTTTCTCTTGAAAGTATCCTGTTTTCTTTGATTACAAAAATATGCATTATTAACCGGTACACCTGGTAAATAGCACTGCTGTGAACATAGGGGTATATATATTCTCTCTGATTGGTATTTTACAGCATTTTTTGACTTTAAATATATTTATTTCAATTATAGTTGACATAAAATATTATATTTGTTTCAGGTGTACAACCCAATGATTGGACATTGTATAACTATCTAAGTGATCTTTGTGATAAATCTAGTACCCATCTGACTCCATACATACTAGTAGTTATTGCATTATTATTGACTATATTCCTTATGCTGTAGTTTATATCCTCATGACTATTCTGTAACTACTGAATATTTACTTCTTAGTCTCTTCAGCTTTTCCACCCATTCTCCCCACCCCACTCCCATCTTAAAAAATACCTTTTAACAATTCTTTTATTAGTGGTTTGGTGATGACCAAAAACAATAGGGTTTTTTTGTTTGTTTGTTTGTTTGTTTTGTATGGGAAACTCATCTGTCCTTTGATTCTAAATTATAGCTCTTCTGTCTACAATAATCTTGGTTGTAGGTTCTTGCTTTTCATAACTGTGAATATTTCTTGCCACTCCCTTCTGGCCTTCAAAGTTTCTGTTGAGAAATCAGCTGACAGTGGTATGGGCACTCCCTTATAGGTAACTGCTTTTCTCTTGCCCCTTATAAGATTCTCTTTTTCTTTAACATTTTGCATTTTAATTATGAGGTTTCTTGGTGTGGGCCTCTTTGGGTTCATCTTGTTTGGGACTCTCTGCAATTTCTGGACCTGTATGTCTATTTCCTTCACCAGGTTTGGGAAGTTTTCTGTCATTTTTTCACATAGGTTTGCAAATTCTTGTTCTCTTTCTTCTCCTTCTGGTATACCCATGATACAAATGTTTGAAGTTGTCCAAGAGGCTTCATATACTATCCTCATTTGGGGGATTTCTTTTTATTATTATTATTATTATTATTATTATTGCTGTTTTGATTGGGTGTTTTCTGTTTTCTTATCTTTCAAATCTCTTATTTGATCCTCTGCTTCATCTACTCCATTGTTGATTCCTTGTAATTTATTCTTTATTTTAGTTAATTTATTCTTGGTTTCTGGCTAATTCTTGCTTATATATTTTCTAGTTTTCTTTTCTTTTTTCCCCCCATCTTTTTGTTGAAGTACTCGCTATATTCTTTTACTCTTTCTCTAGGTCATTGAACATCCTTAAAACCAATGTTTTGAACTCTGCATCTAGTAGGTTGCTTGTCTCCATTTTTTCTTAGTCTTTTTCTGGAGTTTTGTTTCATTCTTTCCTCTTTAAATGTTTTAATCAACCTGCCTTATAAAGCATAAGTCAATGGAGATGCTCTTTCTTTTCCTCCTCATTTTGGCTGCATCTCTATTTTTTTGTTTCTATTTTTCAGATAGAGTTACTACATCTCCTGGGCTTGGTAGAGTAGTCTTATGTAGTAGGTGTCCTGTAGGATCCAATGAGACAGCCTCTCCAATTACCTGAGCTGGGCATTCCTTGTGTGGGTTGTGTACACTCTCCTATTGTAGTTGAGCCTTGATATCTGTTGGCATGTCAATGGGAGGAATTTACATCCAGTCCAATTGGCTGTGAGGAATGGCTGCAAACACAGTGGACCAGGACTTATTTCAGCAGGGCTCTGGTGCCTGCTGAGTCTTCCCCTTGAGTGTGTTGGTTGTGGAAGTAGTTGGTCAGTGATTCAATGTAGTCTAAAGCTGTCCACTGTGTGTGTGCGCTCTGTGACCTCCTGGGAGGTGCAGACCAAGGTCAGCTTGCACCTGTGCCATACCGGGGGCCATCCAGCATGAGCTACAAAGCTATTTACAGATGTGTGATACTTGTGCTGGGCTTGTAAGTGCCCAGGAGAGGCCAAGCTGTTAACCAAGGCCAGCTGCTGCTAGTGCTTGACCTGGGGCCACTTAGTGAGAGGTGCATGGCATGAAAAAGCTGGATGCTGCTTGTTTGAGGGATTTTAGGAAAGTCTAAAGCATGAGCCTAAGATGGGCCATTTGTATGAAAAGGCCCCTGGAAATGGCTTGGGTGGGCCAACATGTTGTGTCAGGCAGGGTCTCAGGGAATCACCAAGTTTGGGGCTGAACTGTGATAACCAGGTTGACAGAGACTCAGACATGATGCCCACCTGTTAGCCCTGTGGTTTGAAGGCCCAGACAAAGAACAATGGTCTCTGCCAACATTTCTCTCTAGGAGGAAGTTGCCGCTCCAGCTTTTGTCCAGATGGAAAACAAATAATTTAGTTCCTCTCTATATGTCATTGGCTCCCCAATGCTGGCCCTCAGAGCAAGTGATTTGAGTATGTCCATACATGAGTCCTTTAAAAGGAACATCTGAGACTCCAGATGTTCTCTCTCTCACTCAGGGAGAGTCAGAACTGGGTTTCACAGCCATAAGTTATGGGGTCTTCTCTTCCTGGCACTGGGAACCTCGGCTGGGGGTCTGATTTGAGGATGGGACCTTGGCTCCTCGGGGGGACCTCCACCACTGAGATATCCCTCCCAATTTTAGTATCATACCTGGGTATAGGACCAGACCATTCCAGGTCTCCACCTCTCCGTGTTGTAAGACTTCTGTTCAGCTAGGTTTCAGACAGTTCTGAATGATGGTTGTTTTGTAGTTTACTAGTAATTTTGATGTGGTTGTGGGAAAATTTCAGTACCACGTTTGCACTGTCATCTTAATCTCCAACCTCACTGTTGATGTTATTCTAACAAGGATATCTTTCAACCCCTCACTACTCTATTTTCATTTATAGATGTTCTTGTCTTTCTTTAAGATTTATAATAAAGACAACCACCAAAATGTACTTGATACTTCTGGTTCCATATAACCTTTCTTTGAACTAAATGTCTATAAGTGGCCACTATCATTCATCACTTAGAATGAAATCTGGCTCCCACCTTTTCTGTAGGGCAGGAAAAATTCTTGTGTGTCTTTATATTCACTCATCATGCAGTACCAAACATAATGTCCAGAACAAAAGTTGGCATATAATAGATGACTGATTGTCCTTTTCTTTGTGGGCATATGACTGTCCATCAGGAGACTACATTTCCCGCCTTACTCTGCTATTGCCTCTGGCCATGTGCCTGACTTCCTGCCAATGGAATCCAAGATAAATTTCTGTGGGGAATTTTATATTTACTTTCTTAAAACTAAATCCCTTCCCAGGACAACTTCATTCCCTCAGTACAGAGTGGGGCATGATGGGACAACTATTATTAGAAGCAATGTAGGTCCCTGAATAACTGAGAAATGAAGCTGCTTAGAATGCGTACTTCAGAACTTTGTTTGAAAGAGCAACAACAACAACAAAGTCTTTTTTCTTTAATACATTTTTATTGATTTCAGAGAGGAAGGGAGAGGGAGCGGGATAGAAACATCAATGATGAGAAAGAATCATTGATTGGCTGCCTCCTGCACACCCCATACTGGGGATCGAGTCCTAAATCCAGGCATGTGCCTCACCAGGAATCAAACCCTGACTTCTCGGTTCTTAGGTTGAAGCTCAACCACTGGGCCACACCAACCTGGATCTTCAACCCATGGTTTTCTCCCCCTCTCTCTCTCTTCTCTCTCTCTCCTCTCTCATTAAAGCCTACCTTTAACCTAATTAAATTATTTAATAAAGTAAATGTGCCAATTTGAAGTAGTTGGAGACAGTTTGTTAAAAATATTTATTGAATATGTATATACACTGACTTTATATATCCTTGTTCACAATTACTCAGAGAACCTCTATTGTGACTTATATTGTGCTTTATAACAAATATTTATGGCAGGTTGATTAAAATATCTGTAAAGAAGCCTGGCTATTGAATGTTAGAAAACTGCAAAAGTAGACTATTTATTTTATGCCACCTTGGTTGGATATATGGTAATCTTATTTAAAATTATATTTATAAAATCTCTGGACAACCTGA